CTTCCAACCATATTCAGCACACGATACAACAAAAAAGAACATGAAACTCAGACACAAAAGAACAGGCCAAAACAAAGGACCTCAAACCGCAAAGGCTGCGCAAGCAGAAGATGGTATAGCCTCGACTGCCTTCACAGCGCTTGCAGTGAATGAGCACTCGTGCAACCGCCATGGTGTGATCCAAAGCAATTAGCTCACACTTGTAGAATCTGGCTAACAACAGTCCATGCTAAGGGGAGATGAAGTATAGAAAACTGCAACTCTAGGCACAAAAAAAAAAAAAAAAAAAAGAACCTGCCAGTAACATTAAACATTAGAATATAGGAACAGGGATGGGGGGGGGGGGGGGGGGGAGGGGGAAGGAATTTGAATAATGGGGGGGGGGGGGGGGTGGAAATTATAGCAACCCTGCCCACCTGTTCCGACGCAACTTCGCACATAACCCGAGCCTATTTAAAGATCTATATCACATTCCCACCCGATCTGATCGGCATTCCTAATCAGTTTTATTTTCATATGTTCAGTGACAATGCAAGCCAGTTTTAAATACTCTATTTTATAATATTACTTTTCCGTACTTCTCACTGCAACATTTTCATGGCGAGCATACTGTTCCCCAGATCACGAGAGCTGCACACAAGTAGCGAGCCTCAGTTTGGGCATCTAGGACGTAGTACGTAGCTGTTGTGCGTCTCGTACGCACAACGATCCAAACTTCTTTCAGCAAGCGCTGTGACCCAAGGGGGTATCGGAGGTCGAGTGTGTTAGCGCACCGCAGCTCGTACGGCGAAAGGTCCCGCTGCCAGGGATTCCCACCCCTACCCGTTTCGATCTGTTGTGAGGCACAGACCCCAGGCTAGCAGTCGTACTGTAGTGGCTAAATTTTCTCATCTAAAGCCTGAAACGGTGTCGCCAGAACCTAGACAGGCCGATCGCACGTTATTTAAAATAGTGAACGTCTTATTTTCTTCCGCTGTGCCCAAAATGACGACAGTGGATGCGATAGAAAGACCAGCGGTCAGGCTACCACTCTTGCCTTCGAATCGCTCGGGAGTCGGGCGACCTGCATTTGCACCATGATCGAAGAACCAGAAAGAAGCGATGTCAAATCACATCGACACAGAATCACTCCAAGCTTCATTGCTTGTGCCCTTCAGCTCTGCGCGCCGTCAGCCGTATCAACGCTAATCACAATTAACCAACGCCTGCCGCGTGCGTTCCGCCGCTCATACAAACAACAACAAACAATCAGGGTGTTATGCTGCAGAAAGTTACTTCCGCCAGTTTTAGCGAAATGCGGAGCTCAACCTGGCTCAACCCCTGCTCAACCGACGTTATTCAAGGTATTGAATTTGGCGTAAGGGTAGTGTGTTTGGGGTATGCGAAAAAGACTACGGTATTGACTATGGCGTACGCCGAAATGACTACGGTATTGATTTTGGCGTACGCCATAACCACTACCGTAGTCGAAGCGGAGGGGTAGTGAGATCGGCGTCCTACACCGGAGCCGCTGCCGCGCGTGCCTCGCCGGTCTGCGCATTCCAGAGGAGTGACGTCATAGCGCCGTGGCAGACGCACTGGCGCCGCCGCGTGCCCAGCTGTGCGCCTCCGTTGCGCAGTAGCCAAGTATGACGCTGCACCGGAGCCGCTTGATAGCGCCTCTCATTAGGGAGTTTTGAATAACGTACGCAATTTTAGCGCACGCTAGCGCTAAATTTAGCGCTTGTATTAGCGCCCGCGACGCAAGAGAGTTTTAGAATAGCGTTTCTCCGTCGCGACGTAAAAGCCCAAGCATCTCGCACTTGCGACGCCACCAAGATACAGTTGCAATTTTTATTTCACACACGAAATGCTGTAACTTTAGAAAGAAACAAGTTTTTTGGTCCAGAGTACCGTTTTAGATTTGTTTAAACACGAGAATGCTACGCGAGCGGTTGACCGGTCGTGCCCGCTTGCGTCACTTGCGTCGCCTCGGCAAGAGAGGTCTCGTGTACTGACCTTCGCACATCGTACCTTCGCCGAGAAGTGTTCGCGCGTCGCAAGCATCATGTTGCCGGTGATTGTTGCCAAACCGAGTACAATTTCGTCTCGCATTGAAAATCGCAGGCGCGAGGATGCCGCCGACGTCGCACTCACGACGCCGCCAAAGCAGCCGCCGACATAATCCTGGAAGCCGCCATTTTTGCTTAACTCTGCTCGTCTTGGCTTTAGCCAACTTCTCATTATGAATCCTCCTTGGAGAAGCGCAAAGGCTCTTTGCGTACGCACGCTATTTCCGAGAAATAGCGCACGCTAAAATTGCGCACGCGAAGCGCAAAACCTGGTTTGCGTTCGGAGCATGCGCAGTCGCGACGACGCTATTCTTTGCGTGCGCAAAGCTTTAGCGTGCGCTATTCTAAAACTCCCTATTTTGTGCGCATAAGCTCACGCTACGTATATCCTGGCATAGCCGAGCTAAGCCACCGCAATTTTTTCTAGATTACTCCTATTTGCTTTTATCATCTACAATACAGATTCTTCAATAACAGCGTTTGCAATCTCAACGAAAACGACGCATTTTTATTGGTCACATGTCCTGGCTGCGAACAATGTTGCTCCCATCGCCGGAGATGATCTAGCTGTGTACGATCTTTGATTGCTTTTTTAATAGAAAAATTGGCCGCGCGTTGTTATGATTTATAGACGCTTTGCAGCAGCTGTGCATGGGCGCCGCCATAACTGACCTTCAATTTTTGTTTCCTTTTATTCCGTTCGCTTCACTTCACCATTGCCACAGCAGGCCAGGTTATTGTCACTTTAAGTGCTGCTGTGTCCTTCTCCCCAGCATAGGCCCTTGTGGAGACTCGTCAACGCCCGCTTCAGTGGCTCGGCACCTCGGTAAGACAAGAGAAGGGCGGCTATGGCGGCTCAATTTGGCGCGTGTGTAAAGCGTCTATAGATTTCTAGGATGCTTAGAGGCCGGCACAGTGAGCTATCGCCATATTTAGGCGATCTCAGAAATCTCCTCAGGGCACCTTTAATACTGCGACGCCAAGTTGTGCCAATCACGGGTCTTTTAGGCGACCTACCGCACTTTGCGAAAACATTTTGCTCCCTCTGCTAAACAAAGGGATGCTGAGTCATATAAACACGACGTTTTGTATGTTGATGTAGGTTTTCGTTTACCGTTGTGTCGAAACTAAATAACAGAATTTAATTCTTTGGTACCGGTAAGTAAAGTGGATCGTACAAACGATAGAAAAAAAAACGATATCGTTAATCGTTTCACGGCCTAAATTGTGCTATAGTGCCAGGACTACGCGGAATATATATTCTTAATTTAGCGGTTTATTTATTTTGGCTCCCCGGAACTGAAGCGGAACTGAACTAAAAGATGTGAACTTGAACTCGAACCCGAGCCGAACCCATAGAAACTTCGGTTGGACACTCTGATCGCAGCACATACGCATAACGCGAAAGAAATTACACCCAAAAGCCGCGTGCTCTTCCCACCGTTTCTTGCTCCTCGCAAACAACCCTACAATGAACTCCCGAGATGAAGTATTGACCGCATTTTTAGCTTCGAGTCTTCAACGACCCCTCCCCTCCTGCACCTACATAACCAACACCTCCTGTCACTGCAAGGCTGGAGGGCTGAAGGTTTTACGTCATCCGAAGAGGCAAACGCGGAGCACGTTTTGGACACTAGGGTTGCGTAAGAGTTCGGCTCGGACTCGTGTCTCATCAGAGACGACACGAGCCCCAGCCGAACGTGGACGCAGTACTCGTGTCCAAACCGCTCTTTGCGCTGGCCCCTTGATGGTGGCGTTGAAAGTTCAGCCCTCCGGTCTTGTTATCCATAGACAGTTCCACTGAGGGCTCCCTGGGCGGCGCCATTTTGTTCGACTGCAGCGCCTCCACATACATCCTGGCATTCAACTGATTTTGCAGGGTGAGAGAGAAAGGGCACGCAGGTGACTAGCCCAACTAGCCGGCTATTCTCCATGGGCATTTCAACCATTCAGCTGGTAAGAGAAGGAGAGGCCGCTCGCCGGTTCTCATCGTTTAGCAAATCGGAACTACCCAAACAAAGTTGGCTCAAACATGGAGGCCCATTTCCCACTCTCCTCTCACCCTAGTAGTATTACGGTGCCTGAACGCGTCTTCGACTGGTGTGTTTAGCGTCATATTCCGTCCATGCACCGAAAGTGGTCCGGAAGTGGCAACAAATGACGTCACAAAAGCCGGAGTGTCACACTGTCGGATATCGCGATCCTGGCGGTTGGTCGTAGAAATGCTGGCGAAAAGCACGAGCAAACGCGAGTGCAGCTGTCGACACGGCGTCCCAACTGCTGGCTGCCGAAGCTTCCGTGGACTGTCAAGCTGGACAGATATACCTGCAGCAGAACAGGCGTCTGCCACATCCACCACCGCTGCTGGGACGTCGTCGGGATCGCGGCCGGCAACAGCGTGACACTCCTATGACGTCATCAGGCGGAAATTGAGGGACCCATTCTTTGGACGCGGTAAACACACCAGTCGAAGACGCGTTCCAGACACCATAGTAGAAGGATGGTCCCCACCTCCGATACACCGCGGTAGGGACCACGTGTCACGGACATCGTCGATTACAATGAGTCGATGACCGCCAGCTTCACAATCTCACACGGGGTTCCGAAAATAAGCGATACTTCACACGCGCGGCCAAAAAAAAAACACGGGTCAGGGGTCGAACACTAATGGGCGAGCAGCAGTTTCCTGGGCGCTTTCTCCGGGACGGCGTGCCTTTCCCTCCGACACCGCGTGCGTAAACAGACTCGATCAGTTGTATTTCCCCGCCTCGTGGACAACTATAGAAGCGCGTCCGTCCAGCCCTAGCCCGTTCCTCCAGCCACTCCAGCGTCATCAAGCGGAGAAGAGCGAGGGAGCGTTGTCGGCGAGCCAAAAGGGACGCCCCATCGGTACGCAGAACGAGTCTCTGATGACATCAAGCTCGCGCGTCATTTCCCCCGGCCGGAGGCTTCCGGTTTGAGAAAGGGGGAAGAAGTGGGGTGTAACTGAGCGGCGCGTCCGTATAAAAACCGGCTCGCTCCGTTCCATTCCAATCTCTCGGTCGATGTGACATCGGGCAAGCGCGGCAAGACACAACCGTGATCATCTTTTCTGTGGCTACGATTCCTCCCGAGTTTGTTTTCTGACGCCAGGATCTTACCTGTAAAAGTTTCCGTTCTCCGAAAGGAGCCTGTCGTGCTCAGTTCGTTGTTGACAGTTCAAAGAGGCCCAAGATGACAACGACAAGGCCATCGTCTGCTAAGGTCATCTTCGCCCTGGCATGTGTGATATTGTCGCAGAACTTCGGCACAGTCCGGTGTTCTACGGACAACAACATCTACGACGTGCTCAGACTCATCTACAGGCTATGCGGTGAGTGGATTTTTCTCCCGCCATTCGCAACTCTCTCGTGCACGCTTTCGTCATCGATTGGCACCTCGCAGCGTGGAACCGAGTTCTCTGCAGCGAGTAGACCAACTCAAAACGTTTTACTGATAAAACCAAAATTCTGAAAGCGTCCGCTAAACATTGCATGCAAGTACAGATGCTCTATAATTGCATGTATGATTTCCGCGCGCTTCTCCATTCACAAAAAGAAAATTAATTTTCTTGCTTTCCAATGGGGATACGGTGTGCAAGCTTGAAACGGTCGCTTCGTCCAGCGAAGGCGTCAAACTCGGGGTTTTTAACCAGGCGCAGTGTTCTCTAACGGTTTTTTTTTTTTTTCAAAGCGTGTTCACGTGAGAAGGGCAGGCTTCACTGCACTGCCTGCCACGTGACCTGGGCATCCTGTGTAGCAGCGGGCTCCTTTAAAGAGCCGAATCGGTCTGCGCTAAAAGTGGATCAAAACATAGCTTGGTTTCAAAACCTTTCAATGCGTACTGACGGGTTCCTCGACATGAGTACTAACATTTCGCACCTATTCTCTGAAAATTATACATCACACTATCTGAAGAGTTCTCTTCAGCTGTGAGGAGTAGGAACGGATGTGAACTCGTTGCTTTTTTTTGTTTTTTTTCTTGCGTCAGTACTTGTGCGAGCGTAGCATTTTGGCGGAGCGATGTCACGCCACTGTCCATCTCAATCTAGACAGATGCATGCAGTGTAGTTCCATCATCAAATCACAACACTGTGCCCGACACCATTGGCCGAATTCCTCTTTAATCTGTATAGGAAAAAGAAATCGAGCATTTTAAGGTTCTGTGGCTATGGGGTCTCCAATGACCGAGGATAGAAGAAATCGCGACAAGACATGCCGTTGCACATTTCCATTCAAACATGCTCGAGGTCAGAATGTCGTATCGACGCACCACCTCAAACTTTGTATGTAGCGCTCATTTAGAGAACGCATTCCTAGGAAGTTGTAGCAGTGTTGTGTAATCACTACACTTGGGGAGAACTTTCTGAATCTGTGCAGTCAAAGCTACGTGCATACGTTAGCTCGTGCACCCTCAGCGCCGATCAAAGTTATACGCACGCGCACTCTTCACTTATTACGTCATCTCGCGGACTTGGAACAAGAAAGACACTACATATGAAAGCTCAGACAGGTAGCAGCGGAGGTTTCTTTTGTTTTCTTTGTCCGAATTTATCTATCCCGGAGTATCCCATGAGAAATTTAAAACAGCATTGTGCAAACTACTCCTTGGGATCGGTGACGACGTTGTGTATGGTGAGAACATTCCTAGTTTGCGACACACACGCACACACACAGATGTAGGATAAAGTAAAGAGAGGCGACTGCGCGATTGCTGCGCAGCATTGCTTTCCATAATGTCGAGAATCGTGTCAGTATCACGCGTGTTACGAGGCGCGGCTTACCGCATCCAGCGTGACCGCATTTATGAGCGTAGTGCGCCGAGGCGGAAAGCTGCCAAGATGCACGGGGACTGCCGCATCCGACGGCGTGATAGGTATGCCAGGAAACGAGGAAAGGAATGGAAAAGAAGGAAAAACGGAAAGCGCGGAAGACGCCTCGCCATTCCGGAAGACGGAGGGCGGGAGAAAAAAAATCGGGGGGATATTCCTACGGTTTGAAGTGCCAAAGCGACTACGAAAGGAAGCCGGTGTGGAGTGCAAGTAAGTTATGCCAGTGAGGCTTGGCGGAAAGGAAGTTCTCTCATCACTACTGGCCGGACATTCTCACTATCGTACGTCCAGGAAAAGAAAAATACTTCGGAGCAACGTATACTTATATGGTATTACTACCTGCAGGGGGGCTCACGATACCAACGACAGATATAAATTTGCCTACGCGCAGTATGAAATATACTGGTTGCAGATGTTGCTGGCGCTTCTGAGATTTTCTTGTATCGAACCGTAGTTGACAACAGAGTGAAGAAAATTCAATATGATTTAAATCGTGGCTTAAATCAGACCTGTTTTACAATGATGATTTAAATAGAGCCTTTGCCGCAAAAATCGTCGTGAAAATATTATTTTTATTTATCATATTTCTATAATTTGATGCTTCCTATGTGCATTTTGTTTTGTATTTAAAGCAATAAATCATCAAGCAGGGAAGAGTTATATAAGGCTGAACATAAACAAAAAGGAGTGCTCCATTCTGGACAAATCGGAGCGTCGGGCTTGATTTCTACCTTCCACTTCGTCAGTTGCGTAACATCGTCCTGCAACAAAATCAAAACACAAAACAAACAAAAACTAGAGAAAAGTAATGTCTTATCGTGAGAAGTCAGAACGCGAAATAAACATCATATATGAAGTTTCAGCTAACCAGAAAATGCATCAGTTTTTATTCTAGCATGGCAGGGATTTCACCAATAATAAATTGTTAATTAAGCTTTACATTTGCAGTAATTATTTATTCCGCAATGTTATCAGTGATCAGACGAGGTGATCAATCTGTCTGCAGTGTTGACAAATACATCTAGGGGTAAAAATTCCTATTTTCGAGCTACAGTGATTTAAATAAGATCAACGTCATTTAAATCCAATAAATCTGATTTATTTGATGTTTTTATTGTTATGATTTTTATCCATCCACCCTGGTTGACAATGAACGGGATATTTTCTTCAATATCGATGGGGACATCACAGTGTTTTCAGCATACTACATTGAGCTTTGGGTACTGATGACCGATTATTATTTTTCTATCAGTACAATATATTTTAAATTTTCGACAATTCTGTACAAATTTTTGTTCAGTAAACAAAGAAGTCAGATAACAAAGAAGGAACACGAAAGCAAAAGCATATAGTTTAATCTTTAAGTGATTTGCAAGTTCCCCCTCATCCCCCTCTTCAACCGCACAAAAAAAAAAAAAAAACACTATGCAAGCTAGGTGTACTAAAATCAGTGCCGATTCAACGATAACTCCCGTAATTACTGTACCATTCACTCTCCGACAGTTACAGCTTAAGTCCTATCTGCGCCCCTGTCGCCGACACGATCAAACCAAGGTCAAACACAAATTGGCACTCATCGAATAAACATGCGGCAAAGTAACCACCTCGCAGGAAGGCTTCTCAAAGCCTTAGCGCTCACACACAAGGCAGGCGCAGAACCTGTTCGGCGACAATGAGGCTTCACTAATCGTATAAACTTGATAGGGTGACCGCACGCGTATCGGTCCTCGATGCGATCTGATCCCGAGTTGACCAGTACAAACTGGAACTCCGTCGATGAAACCATCGACGGCTTGTGGGGCTCTCCCATACACGCATCTCGAAGTCATCGGGGGAGGATCTCCCAAAACAGGATGTCCCCGATATCGGGCGCGCGGATGCGAGGGGGACCTTGACCGCATGCCAGAGTCACGCGGCACGTCCTCGCGCTGTGAACTAGATTCGGTTCAAGGGCCACCATCGAAAACGAGAGAGGATTGGGAAGAAGCCGCGGGGCTGGAGCTTTCTTTCGGTGCTTCCATTTCGATCGCTTCAACGACCCCCCGCCCGCGCGCGCGACGTCGCAGAATAGACACGAGGAAGCGACGTTTCTGAAGGACCTGTCGGTGTCGGGAGGTTGCGACACTCTTGACCTCGTCCTCGCGGCTTTGAACAACGTTTGTGCCGAGCGCACGCGTCTTTCTAAATATAGAATAAATAATAAAAAAAAAAATCTAACTTTTTATTGGACAGGATGTCGGTTTGTGTGGCGGAAGGAAGGCGCGCGTCAGATGTGCTTCTGAGCTCAATAACGGAACCTGTCTGTTTTAACGGGCGTCGCGGTGGCTGAGGTTAACACACCAATTTGATTTCGGTTCTTGTTTCTTTTTGTGTGTGCGTGTGTGTGCTCTTGGCAAAGTAGGTAGGGATTACTAATATAATCCATCGACCAAAAAACATGACAAACAAAAATTTAGAAAAAAAAATAAAATAAAAATAGGCGGAGGCATTGCGGATGCGGAAGAGAGGATATCGGTGTCAACGTGGTATTGCTAACGTGCGGTTCCTTCTCGTCGAGTCGATGACCTAGATTTCCGATTCAGCTGCCGAAATTGACTCGCGACAAGGTCTCGACGTTTATGGCGCGCGCCGCCCCCGAAAACGAAAATGTCTTCATTTCTCGTGGTGTTCCTTCCTGTTGCTAAGGTGCCTACATGTCTGTCTGTCTCAGGGTGAAGACATCCATTGTTGCCCCGAATGTGCCAGCGCGTGACGCTCTCGCGCACTCGGTGCGTGACTTGGGCGGTAAAATGGCGTCTATGCATTAGCCAAAGCTACGCGCTCGAGCTGAGTGACACCGGATTGCGCGCACTTCATAATGCACAAAAAAACGATTGGGCGGAAAAATGGCTGAGATGTCACCACTCAAGCAAAAGCGCGCGTGTGTATGAAGGAACTCTACCTGTTGCTGTCTTCTTCTTTTTTTTTTTTTTTTTTTTGTGGAAGTTGGTCTTTTATTCATTGGTGCTTTCTCCAATGTGCATACAGGTCCACAGATGAATCCAGAGTTTCTTATAAAATATGCTTTTCCCTGCCTTCCACGACTGGGTGTCTCATACCGGACGCTCATTTTTGAGTCGACAGATAACTGAAAAAGCAGTTATAGAGTCGATAGATAACTGAAAATGTAGTTCTTGTGGCGTGTCCGTTCTTTGCTATAATGATCATTCATCTCCTCTCGGCATCCTCCAAGTTCTCTAAGCTTTGAAGAAAAAAAGGGCACGAGTGCGTGGCTTCCGACATTGCTCTCCTTACGCTCGTGCCTACATAAACAGAGCACTGTGTAAAGCTGCGTTCGAGAGCCTGCGCCTTTGCTGGTGCTTCACGCAACTATCGAGATAGGCAGGCGGAACCTTTGCGACAGAGGCCCGGATTCGTTGATCAGTCCTCGCCTGTGTCGCAGTACCGGGAGTTGCTTTGCGATGACAGTTCACAAGGGTGCCATTGATGTTTTACGAGTTTCGTCTTGATTTTTTTTTTTTTTTTGTACTCGCAGCTTCTGAACATGATGACATGCAAGTTGGCGTCAAGTGCCTGGACCACTACATGGGCGGAAATGGCGGCGAAGTAAGTTGGACTCGGTGACTCCATCCCAGATCTGTCAAGCTATCTGGGACGCGTACAGGAAAGCCGGGAGAGAGGGCTCGTCCTCCTAACCGAGGCATGCTTGCTAACAAGCGCCGAAGACGAAGTGAGGATGCCAGCGTTGTTGTCTAAACTTAATGTGCGGTAAAAAAAAAAAAAAAAAGGAAGCCCTCAGTACAAGAACGAGGTCGTTGTTTCATTCGCTTTTGGAGAACGAGGATTTATTTGATTCATTTTGTCTAAGCCGATTAAAATCGCTTCAATGTCATTAGCAAGCATGTAGGTTAGTGATGGTCGCTCGACAAGCCGTACAACCACTAACTTTTATCTTATCACTAAAAATAAACTATCAAATTTTTATATTACGCGGAGTTATCCTAATTCGGTGAGGCGGTGAACGGGAGTAACATTAGGGAGTTTTCGTAGACCGCGGTTCCCCTCCGCTATGCCCTTCGCAACGAAGAAGCCGCTACTGCGCCTGCGCGCCGATGGCCTTGACTGTAAAGTTCCGGGTATCGTAGCGGGTTGCGGAGAGCGTTGCGGGACGGCGAAAACGATCTACGAAAACTCCCCATTACTGGCGAGAATCTATCGAAATCTCTAGATGGCCCGTACGATAGTGAGAAATTGCGTAAAACTGCAAGACTATACTTCATATGCACACACAAAGTAAACTTTCGAGTCAGCCTAGGTTCATCACATGTCCACGTCCACGAACCACACAGACGTCGACAAAGTCTCACGAATTCATTTCTTCCATGCATATGCAGATGGCCGACTCGGCTAAAAGATGCATGCAACTCAGGGAAGGCGACTCCCCAGACCCGGTGTCCGAGATGTGTTCCCGATACACCGACATCAGCGAATGGCAAGCCAAGAACAAGCTCCCTCCTCCTTCTCTCACTGGGGTAAGCATCCCTTGAAACAAAAGACTCGAAGTACACCTAAGTACTTCGTATGCGTTGTGAATGCGAAAGCATGAATGTCGTTCCTCGCGCCGCGGCCGCTTCTGATCCTCTCGCCTCGGCGGCCACATAATGTGATCCTCTCGGCGCCTCGGCCGTTTCTGCTCCGGCGCGGACATGCAGCGCCATGGGGTGGCGCTAATTGAAACTGACGCGCGTCGGCTTCATATCATTGCCGTTTCGCGTGGCTTTTTGCGCGGTTTCAAAGCTGGGATGCCTCAGATCGCGGCTTCGGGAATTTATCTGCCGTTTGGCGCGGTGGATGACGTCGGCTCGCTCCATGGGACAGTTAATGCTATCGCATTAACAATCGATAGTACAACATGAGAACTACTCCCAAACTTTGTTTTCGATGGCTCTTCAGCTCTGCGCTCACAATGCCTCTATACTCCCTTCGCCCCTAAACTGACAGTGCGGTGAGAGCTAAACAATCGCCGGACCAATCAACCACCTTCCTCTCATCCCGTGACCCTGCTTTCCGCGCGTACGCCTGAGGCGGGGGCGTAATCACGTAACGAAAGTTAACCGTGCAATTGGTTCAACGAGTACGAAACTTTCATCGCACTGTGAGCTTAGAGCGAACAGAGCATTGTGCCTTTAATAGTGGCGACGATATATGTGGCTTGTATTGAAGTCGCATCAGCGGCCATTGTGGTGGTCTCGCCGTTGAGCATGCACATTTTACGGATTCGCACCACCGAAATTGTTCTCCTCGGCAAGAGAACAAGTAAGAATTGCTACCAGCGTGGCGAGATTACGTTACGTACATGCCACTTTGATGACTGAACTGTACTATCGCGGACAATATAAGCTGCAACACTCCTTCATCTTTTTTTTTTCTATATGTTGGTTTTTAAAAGAAATTTTTGGTTCAGACTGTTTGATATAAGGTAAAACTTGGGTTCCATTTTTTTAAAACTTATCTTTATGATAAACTGACAGATAATGGAAAGTTGTAGGGACTGCAGACGCAGAAGGCTGGGTTGGGTGTTGCAACTCATTGTCCACGGGGGCGCCCTCCCAGTCGTTAATTTGGCGGTTCAAAACCATGACAGCCTCCCCGACATTTTAATGGTAGATCAATAGCAGACGCCCTCATTCAATTTAGTTATGCCCAGTCTTAAGTTACACGTGTCCGTACGTAGGGTCAGACGACAAGTTAACAACTCCACGTGAGCGGGCGTCCTTTTTTAGAGTGCTTGACTGGTAGCTTGCGCTCGAACTAGTGCTGACGTCACGGGCTCGTCTACCTGAAGCAAACGGGAGAAGCCCATCAACACAAACTACCATTTATGAAAAAAAACAGTTAAAGTACAGGTGAGTTGGTGGATGTTTACCATGATGCAACTTGGCCTGAGACTGAGGTAAAAATAGAAGCTTAAAATAGAAGGGAGAGAAAAAGGGAATAGAACATCTCGATAGTGCTTCTGCTTTTAAGTTTCTATTTCATACCCCAGTGACCAGTCTCCGTTGCATCATGATACATCAGTCTCTGTTTACCATGATGCAAGTTCCATCATGGTAAACTACCGTTATAACTTCTGTATGCGTCAACGTAGCGTAAATAAAAGGAGGGAGAGGATTTCGGAAAGGCGAGCCAGTGTTGGGCGAGCGCGGCGGTGCGGCGAACACTCGTGCAAAAATCTTTTAAAAAAAAGGTTTTTTTTTTTTTCAGAGGGGGGGGGGGGGGGGGGGGGAAGGAAGGCAGTTCTTTGCTCTTTTATATATATTTTTTTCGCTCTTGATTAGTGTTTTATGAGTGCCTACCGTTCGTGACCTCGTGAATTCTTCCTTCCTTTCACTCAGACAACTTTGGCTCTGTCGTTTGTGTTGATACCCTGTTTCACATGGGCAAGCCGGTGACGTCAACACTAGTTTGTACGCAAGCCACCAGTCAAGCGCTCCTCAGAAAAATACGCCTGGTCGCGTGGAATTGTCAGCTTCTTGCCTGACTTTACCTGACCGTGGGAACACTGTCCGTTTTTGTAAAGGAAAGCTTCGTTTAAGTTCGCTCTGACCTACCCCGGGAGCGCGATGTTGGTAACCACGCTGAAGGCCGAGGCAGCGCAAATCTGAAGACAAGGGCGTGCGGCTCTCGAAAGATAAAATCACAGTATCCGACAATGCGGGCTCACCATGCGGGCTCGCCTTTCAGTAGGTAGGGACATAGTCCTCATTATCGCAGTCCGTCGACAGGGAATCTTGATCAACGTGATGACAAAACGCTACACCATATATGCAGACAAGCTCACACAATCTACAGTCGTGCGATCAAATAACGTTATTAGTAAACACGTACGACGAGAAACAATTTTGCAACCTCCGACGCCGTAATTCACCACCAAAGTATACGACTATGTGGTGCATTTGTTTTTGTTGAAATATATCGAAGCAAAAAGTTACATGCAAAAGTTAAAACAAAAAAAGAAAAACCTTTCAAAGCGGCGATAATGATTCCTGGAGACGGGGACCAAAGGACAAACACAATTCTCCAAACACAACTAGATGACTAGTGGCCGAAAAAAAACAAAAATCCGCCTGGTCCTGGTATCTATTCTTGTCCAGCTCGCTTGCACCTCTGCATTAATTGCATTATCATCATAGACTAAAAGCGTTTTTCGCGGGACAAAACAGGGAACGAAAGCGAAACCAGAACTTCTTCGCTATTGTTTTTGTACTCGTTAAACGGTTAAATCAAACGTCCCAAACGACCATACGGTCTTTTTGTTCACAATGGAACAAAAATAGCTGAACTTCCTGTTGGCCCGCTGGGACAATGTTTATAGTTGTCACTTTTGATTGCGGCAGGTTTGCTCTTTGGTGCTTATAAAACGCAAACGCACAACCTAGCCGCACGTTCGTGATAAATCACAACGTCGGAGCTTGCGAAACATATATTTTGAGCTTTATTTAGGGCATGTTAGATTTATTGTACGCTCGCTGTGCAGAGGCAATATATATATATGTATGTATGTATGTGTATGTGTGTGTGTGTGGACGTTCCACACCTTTCCTAGGGCCTGCGAAAGGAAAGGGACCCACGAAACGTTTTTGTACACGATTAACTTGAAAAGTGGCCGCGACACCAAGTGTGCGTTTAACCTTGGCGATGGCCGACAGACTGCCAAAATTCTTCAACATGCCCCATTCCCCGCGTCTTGTGCACAGTCTCCTCCACTTGTGGCGCTGCTAAGTTCCACGGCCAACCTTGCTTCCTTCCTTGCAGGTCATCAGTCTATCTGGACTCACGAAGATGATGTGCGTCATGGGCGACCTCAAGGTGCCCATTCCCACATGGCAGACGGCATTCTCCGTAAGTGGAGATTCTTGTCCGTTCCACACGTACGAGAAACCGCATCACTTGGGTGCTCTGCTAGACTACCAAACAGGAAATGGTCTTTCGCGGCAAAACACTTCACGTGTTCACGCCGTGAGAAATGTTACTCGAAGGTCGATCGGGCCGTGCTCCATTTGCTCCCCATGAGTCGCATTGCAAAACAAGCACGGCCAGTGTTTACTCCACAAGGAACCTTGACGACTTCCTTCGTGAAGTTGTGCTGGTTGTCCATACCGACAGCCTTGAGGACATGCAGTGCCAGCCGGAAAGGGCACGTTCTCTCCGCGCCGGGAGAACGCAAGGTCGCCACGAACGTCAATTTTTGTTTTTGACGGCACCAACTCGTCTTGACAGCACAGCCCTCCCCCCTCCCCACCAAAAAAAAAAAAAAAAAAACTTTTCTTGTTGGTGCGTTTTAAACATTTAGAAAGTGGAGACATAAGGGACGATTTTAGTGTAAATGTTGGCCTCCAGCTGTTGCGAAGCCCCAAAAGCGCGTGCTCACGGTATTCAATCTGGAGCTCAAGGACAAGTTGCAAGGCTTAGGCGGGAGGGCATCATTGAATCATTACGTTTGCACGAGCACTTGAGCAACAGATACGGTTTCTTAGACCACGCACTCAAGACCACGCCTCTAAAAACGCTGCACAGAACCCTTCACATAGTCCAGCCTACGATCTGGTTATTTTCCGCCCAAAAACTGAGAAAAAGAAAAAAAAAAACGATTTAGTTTTTAGTAATGAAATGCAAGGCATTTCATTACTAAAAATGTTCTCCTCGTTTTATCTCAAGTGTTCCCTGAAGGCATAACTTCAAATAGTTCCTTGTGCCAGTGCAAGTCCAAAAAAAGCGCTGTGCATTGCTGCGTTCTCATGCTCACGCCTTTCGTAAAGCTGCACACTGAAGTATTTCGCGAACTTGCCGACATTCACAATACTTCGCCGATTATGAGCTCAGAGTAGCATGCCCAGGGCTAAACGAGCAGTAGTTGCTGCCAAGTGCACGGAGGACTTGCTGAACTGCCAGTATGCAGTAGAATCCGATGGACAATTTGTCAGGGACTCTACTTCAACTTGTTTCTGTCCTCGTGTTTTCCAGAAATGCTTCCCCAGACACCAAGACTGGCTCGCATCACGGAAAGCACTGTAAGTTGTCATTAGCCAAAACTTGTTCATTATTAGCCTTGTTAAAAGAGACACCCGGCCATTATAAGAAAAAAAGTTCAATTGTATCGGAACATACATTTACCATGGAAATGAGGCGGCTTCTACAATTATGCTTTTTTTTATTTTTTGCAGGTGGTTCATTACAAGATACCTATTGTCCAAGTCGTGAGGTCAGCTCAAGTTGCCTGTTAGCACCAGCTTCTGACACACAAGGGTGCGTTAACTTTCTTTGCCTAATACACCAGAGTAGTTCCATGTGAAGCTGAACAGTGCTCACAGAAAAGCTCTGCTTAAGTACCCAACTATGTTCCCCTTTTAGCAGTTCATTAATATTTTCATCTGTGAAGATGGCCACCCAGACTAAGTTCATACTGTCTCTTCTAACGAGGTTAAGACGAGCATGAGCAAGCACTTTCTCTTGCATCATGCTTGCTGTCGTGACCTTGACATTGTTGCCAACTTGGTGAGGGGTGAGAGGGGTCAACTATAGAAGTCTTGAAGATGACAGGATAGGCTCGCACTGTGCAAATGCAAGCGTGAGCTTCTCCTGGCATTTCGAAAACTCCTCGAAAAGAGCAAGTCCCCCAAACCCCAACAACACACGGGCAACCCGCACGGGTCCATTTCTTCTCATGTGCTACCTGGGAAGGGTTGGACATTCCTGTTGCAATGGCAGAATTAGCACTGTGAATTGTGAATAATCAGGCTGTACCATCAATCAAAGAACCCAAAGTTTCACTATTGCATACAACATTTATTTCATTGTGTCAAACTGAAATCAAATATGTAGCTGTTTGCATAAATTCTGACTTCTCCTTGGCCGCTCGAAGGCACGCCTGTGTACAAATAACCGGCTAAAAGCAACAACCAAGAAGTATTTCAGGCACTCCTAGCTCCTCCCCCGAGCTTCGAGGAGTCTCGAGTGCCCGCGGGTAGGTGACTAGCCAGCTAACATCCATCTCTTCTCTTCTGTTCTTCCTACAGCTCCAAGAGAAAAGCCTGAGTCAAGTCTCAAGGACCTACAAGTGACAAACATGCCAAAAAAGTGAATGGATAGGATGCCACCCTCACCTGTAAATACCCATCGAGCCACATGTACTAATTTAATATTTATGCGAGGGCACTGTTAAACCTTGCATGCAGACTGTGTAGTTGCCAATAGAAAATGTTTCAAACAAAGTGACTCCATGTCTGTCCAGTTCTTTAGTCCCCAGTGGAGATTAATGACCACCAATATGACCAGTGGCGAACTCGTGACTTCACAACGATGTTTACACATTCTCTGCACATGACTGATGGACAGGACATGCAAGATCCTGGTGAAAAGCCTCCTTAAAGGACACATGCAAAGGAAAAAAACATTTTTTGTTTTAGACAGCTTAGATGGAAAAAGGATGTCATAAAACGATTTTACAACGAAGAAACAAAATTTTTAGAGCTATATTTACGGCGCTATATGAATTTGTAGTTGGCGCTCGCGGGAGCCTCCGCTGGTCACGTGGTAGGCCCGCACGCCGCCGCGCTGCGTCGCCGCCGCACGCTGAGCGTTGTGCGAACGCCGCTTCAACGCGTTTCTCCACGCCGCCGTCGCCGCACAAGTTCGTCTACTTCGGGGCGCCGCCGCCGTCGTCTGACCGGCGCACAGGTCTATCACGTCTGCTTGCGCTTTTTCAGGAGTTTCCTTTGGGCTCTAAAAGTTACTTATTCGTCTTGGCTTTTTGTTATACTTCAATACAAAGATGAATAAGTTACTTTTAGAGGCCATAGGAAGCTTCCGAAAGAGCGCAAGCACCACGTGATAAATAAGGACCAGTCACGTGACAAATACGGACCACTTTTCTGCGGTGCCCGCGGGCGCCAACTACAAATTCGTTTTGCGCCGTAAATATAGCTCTAAAAATTTTTTTTCTTCGTTGTAAAATCGTTTTATGGTGTCCTTTTTCCAACTAAGCCATTTAAAAAAAATGTTTTTTCCTTTGCATGTGTCCTTTAATGATAACAGCAACTTCCCTCAGTCGTCGATCCTGCAACAACTGGAAAGGGTGGCCTTCCCAGAGGGCCGACTTCGACATGCCGACGCTTCAAAACGAATGGCACAACTCTTCTTATTGCACAACCAATGTAAGGCTCCTGGCTGACTGATATAGAACATGTAACACTTATATAACCTCATGCTTCCTGAAGCTATGCTGTAAAAATATACTCTGTGCTTTCTCTTCTCCTCCAACAAGACACTGCTCTTGCACTGTCAACTTCAATCGCTATGTACACAAATGGGACACTATTTACAAAGAAGGGCTATGTACAACAAAGGTAATGCAGACAGCTTGCCATAGACTGCTGGACCAATCTCTAATAGCATCTAAGCTCATCAAGCCCAGATTTTTACTGACCAGAACTGGACAAACTTTCTGACCAAAAGAAAGGTTATCACAAAATGAATAGGGTACATATAGCCACTAGCAAGATAACCACTATGTAACAAGCTATGGCACAAAGGCACGGTTTAACACGGGCCGATTCTAAGCTCCCGTTAACTGCCGTAGAAACTAAATACCGACGCAACAAAACATTGTTCTCGAACATCAGTCTATGCCTTTCCAATGTCTATGGAGGCCATCCGTAAACTAATCGAATGCTAATGCATTCCAACAACAGCAAAACAGCTTCCTTTTGCCCCTTAAGGGTAAGAAAGGCTACACGAATGAAAAATGAGCTTGCTGTCAATGTGGATGGTCAAACTGCCCTGTAAGACAGACAAAGATTGCAACACACCAATTGTAACCTTCTGAGGATTTTGATGATGTTTGAATAAGCTTTGGCTCTGGAGAGAAGCATCTTTAGCACATCTCTCAGCGCTGTGTCCTCGTTCGAGAAAGAATGCTGCCTTCTTCCTAGAAACCGGAGACCCCTCGGAAGTAAAACACAAAGGGGGAAGCATGAAAGAGGGTAAGAAACCCAAAAATGGAAATGAACAATGATGCCCGTGCAACTAGACAAAAAAAACACCTTGAGCATGCAGCGGGGCAAGTCACTCGCTGCCCCAATCGAGCTATGGCTGTTGAAAGCGCTACTCTCGTGACTTAGGAAGACCAGTCCTGTCTCACCAACAGGCTCATAAGAGATCAGGCCGACAGAAAATGCCCCTTCGTCACCCGCCACAGGAACCAACCTATGTCAAGTCTATATGGACTCATAAAAAAAAAAAAAAAATGCCCCGTCGGAAAAACTTGCTTTTAAACCACTCGCACTTCCACAATTCAGAGGCGCGCCGCAAGCATGCAAGCAAATGCACACCCCCTCGCCCCAGTCGTGGCACCCGGGAACAGATAGCACATTGAACTAGACAAACTTTGAGGTTAAGCGTGCAACATGACTCCCGCCAGAGCCCTCGCAAGCTCATGCCCACACCTCATGGAAACCTTGCATTGTTCTTTCGATTTCTGGCGGAATCTTCGCACAATCCGCACACAACCCCTTTGCATCAACGTCCTCCGGGTAGTCCTCGCAAAGCCCGAGCACGGGAAAGGCGAGTGCTGCACCGCGTTGCCCGCAGCAGCGGGGGGTTCGCGAAGCGTGGCGCCCATGGAGACGAAGCACCGGGCCGAGGGGTCGAGGGGTGGCCTGGCGCCCCCCGTCTCGGCTATCCATGGTAGTCCATGGTGGTCGGGGAGTTCACGTGGGAGGAGGACAACAGGGGGTCGTTCGGGCATGCCAGGGGGTCGTTGGGGCATGTCACGGAGTCGTCGTCCATAATGTCCTCGTAGTGTCCCAGGGCGTGGCCGGGACTAGCGCTGGGCGCCGAGCTGAGGCCTGAGCTGGGGCTCTGGGATGGGCTGGGGGCCTCCGCCTTGATGCTGAAGTCCTCGAGCAGCTCGTTCAGCACCGCCTGTTCGGAGCCCAGAAGGGCGCTCAGCTGGGTGTCTGACGTGGGCTGCCACGTCTGGCTCGACAGGGAGATGCCGTGCATCCGAATCGTGTGCTCCAGCTCCTGCAAACGTGCACAAACGTAAATGCCACGTGCAGTTCCCTCGGGAAACATGGTCGCTATCAGTAACGGAGGCACGACCATGGAAAAGTGATGGTTAATGGCTATATGGAAATAGTAGTGCTCTTGTGCTGGTGGATATCAGCCTCAGCAAGCTCGCAATGTCCTCACAGTCAGCAAGGCTGTGTATTGAGCACCGTTTGGGATTACTTCTCCAAGTTGTTTCCACGTCAGGGGATACCCAGTGCCGTCTAAGCCTGATCGACAAAACCTTTAACATCCGCTATCCCGTTAAGCATCAGTCTTCAATGCTCACAACTCTATCTACAACGTCTATCTTCATTACAAAAGCACTATTCATGTCTAATTATATATATGAGAAGAAATTCAGCAAAAATATAAAACTGTCCGCCAATCACCGAGCGAGTGCTTCAGGCATCCAGCTCTTACTTTAACACCATGCTCGCTCACTTATTACCATAATTAATTGGCACCAGGAATAAAACTGTAGTTCACTAAATTGTAAAGCTAGATGAACTTTCTCCCGTTGAACTTCTGTGTCACCAATAAATAGCATGCTAGTGGGAGCACTTTTAAATATAGAGTCAAAAGCCTTCAGAATATTCCTGGCTCCCCTAGGACCTTCCACAACGCAAAAAAAAGTTTAACTACGAGGAGCAGAGGCACAAACCAGACTGAAACTTCAGCTTTAACTTATGGAAGGCAAGTATGCAACAGAAGCGAGTATGGCTGTGAGTTCAACGGCTACATCACTTTCCCGTTGCTTTTAGTTCCGACACTAACAAAGAAATAGCTTAGGGCATGTACTTCATACTCCATCTTGATGCCTCTCTTCGAGATTGTTCCCCCCTCCGAAAACCCACTCTAAACAAGCGCAACCTGCGACAAGAGGGGAGCCAGTTGGCAGTGAGGCATGGCACGCGGCCCACTCGCCTGTATCCTGAGCAGCAGCTCCTTGTTCTGCTGCTCGAGCACCCGTTGCCTCTCCTCCACCACGCTGATTTTCTCCGTCTCCTTCTTGAGGGTGCGCACATAGTCCACCGTCGCCTTCAGGATCGTGCCCTTGTTCTGGCGGAGGTCCCGCACCAGCTCGTAATGCCTGCAAGGAGACCCACCAGTCAATCTCAAGACTGGTCCTCGCCGTCCAGCTGTTTCCGCAGCACATCCGGCCGTTCAAATTGGTCCTTTCGTCGTAGGAATATGACGCCATTTACCGTATAGTTAGGAGACCCGCAGCAGAAGCAATTTTACCGTCTTCACCAGACCCGCAGCCTTTGCATCTGCCCCCAAGCACCGCCCGCAGATGGTTGCATCGGTCATACCTTCGTCCAATTTGCATCCATACGCCTTGCCACCAGTGGCATCACAAGGGGGTGCGGGGGAAGGGTGCCACCCCGGGTGCAGTGCTCAGGGGGGTGTCGCGGCAGGCCGCGAGAGCAGAGGGGGGGGGGGGGGGTGTCGCGGCTGGGCTATTGCCTCGCGTGCCGCTGACCCTCGTGACGCCACTGCTTGCCACCACCGCAAACACCCCCAATGGCACACGTTAAGTGCGCATCCAATCGGCAACCCACACACGAAGTTTACGTTAGACTTTTAGGCCTCGAGAACGACGTAACGGCTCTCCGAGGATCAAGGCCGAGGATAAAGGCCCATTTGCACACTTGCGCTTGCATGGGACTGAGCTCTTGCAATCTTACGAGAGGGCACGCCGAGACCCTGGAACTGCAATCCACTAGAGCGAAGGTTTTGGCGTATTTGCAAGATCAAATGTATGTATTGGGTGTTTTCACATGACGTTAATCCGCCATATTGTTGTTAGTTTGCTTTTTCAAGAAATTTACTGATTTTAAGGATTACGTCAGCGTGCTGAGACTTGTAAGTTTCTGTACTCCACAAATTTAGGGTGTCATAATTCCTTGGAATTCTCGCCTTCGGCACAACTACAACAACTCACAACAACAAAAAGGTGGGTGAAATTACATCAGCAAAAACAGCGCATACTATCTATCAGATATTATTATTTTATTATTTATAACTAGGGTTCAGAGTTTTCGGTTTAAACCGATAAAAACCGATAAAAGTAAGCGGAATTCATTTTTGGAAATTCGGTTTTAACCAAAAAAGATCAGTTTGTAAGTATGCTTGGGAGAAGAGCGTGTTGGTTTAAGTGATGGATGAAGAAAGAATAAAACAATTAAAACTGGGACAAAATAATCCTGTGAAAGATCTGGTTGTGTTGCCCCAGTTTTAATTGTTTTCTTCTTTCTTCATCCATCAGTTTGTAGGTTCGGCGTTTTCGGTTTAAATTGATAAAAGTATGTCTCTCTTTTCTAAAATTCATTTTTAACCGAAAAAGGTTAGTTTTCTAGGGCAGTGTCGAGGTGGGTGGGTGTTGGAGGGGGAGGGGAGAGAGGGCTTTGCAAGGTTCAACATTGTGCGACGTCTTTGTGATTCCCCTCTTGCAAGGTTCAACATGCAACAAAAGAGGTCTTGGATTGGCCTTCGCGGGACATTTGTGTCCTTTCTGTGATCTGGCTTAGTTTGTCAAGTTCCTGGTCCTAAAAAAAAAGTTTGGGTGTCATGCACTTCAGAGGACATCGAAGAAAGCCTTTAATACCTTTCTTAAAGGACACATGCAGAGGAGAAACTTTTTTTTTAAACAGCCGGGTTGGGAAAAGGAAGTCATAAAACAAACTTACAACGAAAAATAAAAATTTTTAGAGCTATATTTACGGCGCTACAGTCTAAGCTCGTTATAACAGACCTTGATTTTGTCCAAGATTCCGGTCTGTTAAAAAGAGTATGTTGTATGCAGATATGAAGTTGAGTCAATGGTATGTAGAGGAAAACCAACCGAACTTCACAAATTGGTATGTTAAATACAAATGTCTGTTGTAACCAGGTCTGTTATAATGAGCTTAGACTGTATACGAATTTGTAGTTGGCGCCCACGGGCGCCGCGGAAAAGTGGCCTATATTTATCACGTGACTGGCCCCTATTTGTCATGTGGTACTTCCACTCTTTCAGAAGCTTCCTATGGTCTTGAAAAGTTACTTATTCATCTTTGTTTGAAGCGCAACAAAAAACAAAGATTAATAAGTAACTTTTAGAGCCCAAAGTAAGCTTCTGAAACAACGCGAGCAGAAGTGATAGACCTGTGCGCCGGTCAGATGACGGCGGCGGTGCCCCGAAGCAGACGAACTTGCGCGGCGGCTCCTGCGGGCACCAACTACAAATTCGTTTTGCGCCGTAAATATAGCTCTAAAAATTTTCTTTCTTCTTTGTAAATTCGTTTTATAACATACCTTTTCCATCTAGGCTGTTTAAAAAAAATTTTTTTTTCCTTTGCATGTGTCTTTTAACACCCTCTCTCAAACTTCCCCGTGGTTAAAAACGTAAATACAATGGATTCTTTTTTTTTGCCATTCCGCTGGTTTTTGTATTTTCATCTCCTTAGAAGGCCATGTCGTCAGAATGGGAAGGAAAAAAGCTCGAGGTACACCTAAGCACTTCTTACGAGTTGTGAATATGAATGCGAAAGCATGCAAGCCGCTCGTCCACTCCCTTTTTCGTCTGCTGCATACTTTTCGTCGCTGGTCAGCGCGCGTCCCCCCCTGGGCACGCTGACCTTGGACGCTCCGTGTTAACGGCACGCCGATGGACATGGAGCGCCATGGGGGGAGTGTTGTGATTAAAATTTACCGTATCGCGTATGTGGGCGGCGAGCTCGTGATACGAGCCGCCCATCCTTTGCATGGGATACGAGATAAAAAGAAAGACGAAGCAGTCTTCTTCCGAGCCCGACTGAGAAAGATGTCGTTTCCTTCACCGGCGGGTCCCAGCTTTGAAATTACGCCATGACCCACGCGAGGCAGCCCAAGCACGTAAGTCCTCATCAGACGAGGCGGCCACAACCAGCCCAGGCCTCCGAGACACAACAGTGAGCAGTCGTGAAAACAGACGAGCGCAGCGGCCAATGGGAGCCCCGTTGATGCGCGCCAGCCAGTGGCACCGAAGGCGAAATCACGAAAACTAGGTGCCAGTTTCAAGCTTCAAACTGATCACGTCAGCTCGCTCCATGGGACCCAGTTAATGCTTTCGCATTAAAAAAAGCGCGCTCAAAATCATGCCCGCGAATTCCGCGATTTTGAGGTGCGTCCTGACGGAAGTTGTAGCGGAGACCACGTATGTATCTGTGCCGTTATTCTTTGAGTTATCACAAATATATCACAGCTACAAGGATCATCTGATCTGGTGCCCGATAGTGTTTCTTTAATATTCACCGAAAAAAACTGGTAAACGTTTTTGTGAATAAATATACACCAAAAAAAAAAAAAACGAAAATTTAATTTAAAAATAAACATTGAAAAAAGTATGCTGATTTTTGAAAAAATAAAAACCGAAAACGCAGAAGCTTATTTATAACTTTGGCAAAAAATTTGAGCCAAAAAAGAAAAAATCATGCGTGAAAAAAATGGTGAATGTATGGGAACTTGGAGTTCAACGTTCACCCCACAGATGGTGCCAGAGGTCTTAAGGCCCACAATCGTAAGTAGTCGCGAGTGCGGGAACCAGTCCTCTAGCCACATTTCACAGGCACTGGCACCAGACGTAAACACGGTAGCTATCACTGCAAGCATCGGGCAGATCAAACCAGTGGCTGAATGAAAACCTTCGCAGAGTGCTCGTCGTCTGCGAGGGACCAATGGGAGCAACCAGAAGATGGCGTGCTGTCCCAGAATGGCATTCCATCTTAGAGCATTAGAGCCTTTAGGGTTCACAAACTTGCGGCCCGGTTCAACGAGATAATTGGAGCAGAAAAGATATGTTTGCATTAAGCGTAGCGAGACGAACTTGCAATGCATGTCAAGCCAAAAGAGTCTGCTGCTACGTGCTGCACCGCACTGCCATTTCCCGACGTCGTGTCTGGACAAAAAGTTGTCACAGTTGGCTTTTAAATGCGATTTCGCGGAACGAGCAGAAGCTGGCTCGCAGTTGTCGCCTTCGCTGCGTTGTCAGCTAGAAGCTTCCCGAAATTAAGTCACAGTAACAACTATTGCAAACTCTTTCCACCAGGAAAAGGAGCAAACGCTGGTACAGCCCAGGTGGGAGCATCTGCGTCGCAAGTTATGGAGGCACTGCATGTCGTGGCTTTCCGCTGCGTTTGAACACACAACATGATGACTACTACTCTCCAAGAATATAAGAGGGTGATTACGTGTCTTTCTGGGTAATAAAAGGTGGGAGTTCTGAGCATGCCCGTGTTTACCAGGTGCCAAATGGGACCCTTTTTTTTTTTTAGATTAACTTGTTCCAACTTCGTTTAGTTCAAACCATTTTAGGATCCCCAAAAAATTTGAATTTACGAGCTTTTTCTGCATCTAGCTAAGGCTCTTCTGCATTGCCATGAAATAAAGCCCTTCCGAGAAGAAAAGTGATCGCCCTAGAAGCTTTTTGACATGTATGGTAGGGTATGAAGACTTTGAGGCACGCCTTGGCCGGTTCTCATGGTACCCTGACAAACCAGCACAGATGATGACATCAAAAAAAGATCTAAACTCCAAGCTCTCGAGGGAATGACGAGTCAGTTCTTTGTTCCCTCGAGAGCTCCAAGTGCAGGATTTTTTCGCACTCAAACGGGGCAGGCCGCCATGACCAACCAATTTCACATGCATATAGACCACATTTCCAGTTTGCAGGCACGTTTCAAATCTGTACCTGGGTAATGCAGTAGCTATAAAAAAGTAATAAGCTAAAACTTAGGAAAAAAAAAAGCCTTTGTTTTTAATTTAACACATTTTTTTGTATTTAACCAAATAATTTGTTGTTACCCTCAACCTTCTTGCAAACCTGAGCTCCTTGGCATTTATTGTCACATATAAAATTAGATGAATTAAAAAACTGAAACAAAACATTTATTAAGGCAAACTTGCACCCGCAACAAGAATCGACTAGAACTTTCCAGAATAACAATGATCGGTAAAAGAAAGAACCGGATCGAGCAGGGTACTAATCCCCATTCCTCTGCATAATGGCCACGTGGGTTGCCAATTCTGCCACTTGCGTGGCAATGTAACACTGTAGTGATCGCAAGAATGCGAGCCAGCACAACACCCATCCTGCAAGCACCACGGGTACCGGCACGACCCAGGAATGGAACTTGCCACGTACGAATCTGTGCAAGCTTTCACTCCACATGACGACAAGCTGCAGTTTGCAAACGCACTCAAGTCCCAAGTCTTGCCTGAAACATGTCAATGTGTGCCTGCAACAATTCTCAAAAAAGGAATGGGTGTACCTGTCGTTTGTCCTCGGAAGCAAGGTCCCCAGCTCCTTGATGCGATCGTTGATGTTGAACCTTCTCCGCCTCTCAACTGTTGAAAGAATAAACACCATGATGTGAACAAGCCATTTCAAAAATGCTACCCCAATAAATTCCCATGTATGAGGGAAGCGGCACTAATGCTTACTTTATGTGGGTCAACTCCTCCTATTATTAGTCACACAAAAAAAAAAAATCCGCAATAAGAATTTCAAAGGCACCACAGTAATTTTAAATCTGTTTAGAAATATTTGCGGAAACTAAATGTTTACAAACCTGTCATCATGCTGCACAAGCATACTTATCAAATTTACATTGTTTTAGGGGTGAAAGCAAATAAAGTCAATCACACGACTGCGCCAGTCCATATCTGTGCATGGCAGCCACTTCAAACTCTCAAGAACTCAAAACAAGCATGAAAAACAGGCAACTGGTGCAGCGACAATAAAGGGGGCTAAGAAAAGTAAACTTTGTCATTCAAACTTTTGTGCTCTTTCTTGATGTTACCCTTTAAGAATTATCAAACAATTTCCTGCTAATCAGACTAATCACATCAATATCCACGTATGCCGGTAACTATGGGTCGTCGTAGTATTATGACAGGCTTCCGCTCACCCATGCGAAATAACTGAATGCAGATTAGCAACTTCCACTTCACCTTCCGAATATCATGCACAAAACACTAAGTGTTTAATTTCACTGCAGGGCCCACCAAAGATTTAGCACTGCTTAATAAATTCAAATTCATTCATTAATTTTTATGTCCATTTATTTTCAGTGTCCCGGAACAAATTCGACATCTCTGTTCACAATCTTTGCAGCCTATAAAACTACAAGCGTGACAAAAAAAAGAAAGAAGATAACTTGCGACAGACTGGTGCTTTTCTCGTATTTAATTTCTCAATGACGCACTTTCACAGCTGCAAAGCTAGAAAGGAACACTGAGAAAACATTTGTCCTGCAATCACACTCGCTCATCACATACCAACTTTCAGAGAAAAACAGCAGCCTGCACAGAATGTGTTTTGTTTGCAAGATAACACATGCAAACTATGGCCCAGGTGTGGTGAAAGTGTATGCAGTAGGCATATAGCACTCATCTCACGTTTTTCCACATTTTCAAACTGGGTTCTTAGGAGTTCCCTAAGGTCCCATTACGGGTTTTCCAAGCTCTTCCTCAACTGCCCCTTACCCAAAGTTCAGCATTTTTGCAGTTTAAGTACTATTCAAGCAGATACAAGCCATCCATTGCTGCCTAACTATGTGCCACACCCCTATTTTGTGCACTATTGTTTGGAAGGTCTGTAGTCAGTATAATTTTTGTAGTAGCACTCTGACGGAATGTAGTGCATAGTCCAGTTTTTCATAGTAATGCCCTATACACCAACTCATGTTTACAAACAAACCGGAGCGCCCCTAGCGGACGCCACCGGCGCCGCGCATGCGCGATGGGGGTGTGGGCAAGAAGCTTGCCGTCGCCCATAAACAAACCTTTGAAATGCGATGTTGTCGGCGTCAGTGTGAGTCCCGCTGCTCTTTTTCGCATTCGAATTGTTGATTCTACGTCTTCCTGGCGATGCCTGACTACTTGAGCGGCGTCAGCGAAATTAACGAGGCTTGTTACACCGCAAAACTTCGCGTGAATAATGTGACATATCGCGATTCATTCCGCGTGGACGCCGCAGTATGTACGCTAAAACCTGATCCGCATGATGAGATTTCGCTCGCAATTTTCAGCCGCGACGCCGCTCGGGCTGCAAAAGCGTGAACCGTAGCTGAGATAGTCGACGTCGATACTGAAAATCGCAAGCAGAATCGGACCAAGTCAATTAGGCATAGCAAGTCAGTGACGGTCACTCGGAACAATGATCAACATCTCCTTGTATTTACCGTTTACATCGAGCCTGCTTACCAACCTTCAAACTTAAGTCTTTTGAGGCCTGCACTTACTTCGTATAGCAAGTACCGGGCCAACATTTGATCTACGGGCCGGCGTCGTCTAAGAGAGCAGACGACAAGCAGAAACGTTTGAAAGAGCAGACGACATTTCGAACGATCAGGCAGCCGTTTGAACTTGAAGACGCACTGAACGTAGTCCGCAGGTGGTCTGCACAACTTGATGGTTTTCTGGCGTTCATGTTGGAATAAAACAAATAAATCTGGTGACCACAAGTATCCCTGAATTCAACTCAAAGTGCTTCCCGCCCAAGCAATCGTCGTCCGTCGGCGTCTGCTTTTCCCTTTTCACGGCGCATATCCAGATTCTTGGATGAACCGAGCACGTGAAAACTGACCTTCAAATCTTTCTCGACTCTTTTGGTACAGCCCCAGTCCCAGGATTTTAACGAGAAGGCAGGTTTTTGTCTGGTTCCCTTCAAAACAACGCAAGAATACACATCAGGCATGGGGACTTCTGCCCACAGCCCCAGACCGGAAGTGTGACCGACACGCCACCACCGCGCCGTGATGTCACAGAGATGAGTTGGTGTATACTGTGTGAAAGTGAAACTGTTCAATGTTCTAATGTATTGGGTTAATGCTCTGGATTATATTTCTTCAATGTTCCAATATGAAGGCTTATATATGGCAGTTTTTGGACACTACTGTCAAGACCAGTTATAGCGAAGTCAACGGGAATCGGAAATTACTTCACTATATACACTATTTCGTTATAACCGACTTCGTTTAACGAAGTGCAAAAGGGAATGTGAAATTGTGATCGCTTCACTGTAGCCGCTATTTCGTTATAACCAACTTCATTATAACCAGTCTCGACAGAACTAGAAAGATTAAGTATTATGATTATTATTATTAATAATTTCATCATAGCCAAATGAGAGGGGTTCCTCAGTTGCTATGGCAGATAGGGTTCCTCGAGATCAAAACTTTTGAGACACCCTAGTCTACAGAAATAATGTGGCTTTCCTACTAGCATTGCCACTATTCAGTGGGAGGATTGAACAGTGACGCTCCTCTGGTCTGCCAATCTTAAAAAAAAACCAAAGGTGGTCAGTGGGGCAAAGCTCAAAGTTCTCTGAGCATGGCCAAAATCCTTGTTCCATTTAGGGGAGACAAATGTGGCCCAAGTCACATGCCAGAAACATGGTTTCAAAGCTACATCAGTAAAGGTACTGTGCAATTAGTCTATTTATAAAGCATGTTCTATAAACTAAATTTCTTTTTTTTTTTTTTTTTTACGTTGCCAGGCTATACTGTGAATTAAGAGTTGCACGGCCCAAAACGGCATGCCGGAAAAGAAGCATCCACATCCCTACATTGAAACAGTAATTCAGCTGACAGATGCTCAGACTTCATAGCGCTTCGTAGGGCAGGTGTCGTAATAAAAAAAGAAAAGACTGCATGCTACCCTAAGGACGGCAAGGATAGTTCCTTACCTCTCCCTGACACAAAGAAAAATCAGTCAACATTCTGAGATTCACCCACAACTACTTCTTCACTTTAAACATCCAACCACCTCAGAGTTACTTCAGACATATTTGAATGCATTACCCACATCAAAATGTTAATGCAAGCTGCTTTTATGCTTCTCATTATGTGCAACAAAGAGAAGCACATAAAAAATATTGAATCAATCTCTTCCCGTATGGTAGCCAATTGGTCCAACTGCCAGCTTCTGAATCTGCATTTATGTCCGAAACAAGCAGGCCCTCTGACTTCACCCCCCCCCCCCCCCCCCCCCATTCCCTCCCCCCCATTTAAAATAATGATACCACACCCAAAATCGCAAGATTATGGAAGTGGACAGTTGCTCAATTTGTCTTATACTCGTTTTATGTGCTGGGTGTCTGGGAAAAAAGATCACAGTGTACTTTCACTGAAAATTTAGACTATGCATTGCCGAAAGCTCAGTCTTTGCCCAAACGTAGCGCTAGCAGTTCAGACCAACTGCCAATGTTTTAGAACGTGCCATTATCTCATTTTTTTTTTAAATTTTTAGAAATTTTCAATGAGAAAGTGGTGATCAACGAAGCTCATAAATAGATGGAGGTGAATGGTGCCAGCTGCTTGGAACATAGTAAATTCCCAAAACTTGCTTTTAACCCTTTAGCAGTCTTGGGCGAGCTTAGCACTTCAACAAGAATGCGTCCCTAAACCGTTCAGGACGAGTATAGCTCTTCTGTCTTCTCCGGTTCATGCACTCAATCGTTTTAGACGATCGAGGCTCGCTCATAGCTTAGTTCGTGGCTCTGCCAAAAGATGGCAGCACCGACTTTTTCATCTTGCTACCATTCCGTTTATGGCTAGAAATATGATTTGGAAGGCTCCAAACACCATTATGAAGACAACATCCCCCAAACAAAAAAGGGTTAAGAGGTTAATTTTCGAAACGGGTGACAGCAAGCTCTGAAACTAAGGCACCTGGCCTGGACCGGTCGTCCTATGTGTGGGTGGAGACGGAGTGCTCGGCGAAGGGCAGCTTATTTTTGCGGTGACGAACATGCCAAACTATTTTGCCCAGATACCCTGTACTGTGGCCCATTCTGAAGTTACATCGGAAAGCAACACCGGCAGTGCTCCACAGCCGGCCGAGCAGGAGGCAGAAGAGGAGAAAGAAAGCCTCACTCATGTTGTGGTTGTCCTTCTTCTGGCGGTCCTTGGCCAGTGCCCTAAGGTCGTTGTCGAACAGCGGGAGGTCTTCCTCCTTGACCAAGGCCAGGTCGGGGGGACAGGACGATGACACATTGTTCTTGCCCGCACCCGGCCAGACGTCCTCGAACTCCACCATGGAGCCCGGAACTGTGGCATGGCCGCCCAGTGTGGTCAGGAAGTCATCGTTCTCGAAGTGCGAGATGTCGTCGAAGGCGTCGTCAAACTGAGCCAAAAGAGAGTGAGAGATCTTGTTACTCACCTGGCCAGCCCAACTAAAACTCCTTCAACACAAAAAAAAACAAAAAAACTTTGTTTATTGTTCAATTAAGCTCAAATTACACTCAACTCTCAAAGAAGCTCAGATACAGTATAAACCCCATCTAGTCATCAACAGTTTAGGAAACACAGGGTGCGGCAAGTCCCGAGAATCTCCTCATCGCTCCTGAGACAATGAAACTGCGGCATTATCTGGCAAGCATGCTGAAGAATGAATCACGAAGCAAGGATTGCGAATGTAAGAAGCCACGCCCTGCAACTCAAGCTGTCGGTGAGGCAGGCTTTTCTTCGGCACCGAAAAGGCTCAACCACCCCTTTGACAGTGTCCAAACAGAGCGGTAACTCAATCGTTACTGTCTAGTGTAATTCGCGCATAAGTGCTCTCACTTCGAAGTCGCACATGTGCTGTTCTGTTCCCCCATCTTAGTCGCACCTTGGCGCCATTTTGTGGGGATGTGATTACGTTTGCAGTTTACGCTTTGCAATAATCCTGTGCAAGTAATAGAATGGCCTGCCGACCTCAAAGCCTGGTCTCTGGCAAGATTTTTTTAATGCATAGGACAAATGCCGGACCAGGCAGACAATAAAGGGTCCATTGCCAAATTTTAAAAATTTACTGTTTGTTACACGCAATGGGCAAAGTAATGATGTGGAAATGGGTTTGAATATTTAACAAGGCGTAACAATTTATTAAAGCTGCATTGTGGAGCAGCATTGTGAAGCGGCAAACCATTTCTGGTCACTGACGACCTGATGGGGCAAGCGAAAGAATTCTTCTAATCTCGCAACATGCGTCCCCAAAGTTTAGAAATCATTACTTTACAAAATGATTACTAAGCGCTTCAGTTGCATGAATTGTTTTCACAATGGATACAAAAGATGGGGGCTGCTGAAATGGAAAACTTCTACGAGGGAGGTAATAAAAACTTGTGCTGTGATTTGACAAATCCCTTTACATTGAAGAGGATTACGTCGGTAGATTAAGGTATGCAGAATTAATTGAGCATTATCCTGCACATGTCATCCCGCTCTGAAGAAGTGTTTTTCCCAAACATACGGCTGCACAGTGGTGAAGCAAGATACACAAAATCGCAGTGTCTGCTCAGCGAGTCACCCTCGTCATTATGCACCAGTGCCCAGTGTGAAGCAGACTCAATGAAGCTAAATACTAGCCAGCTCAAACAGACCTCAAACAATGAGCAATATTAGGAAACCCGAGTACTCTCGGTGTTTGATATAAATGTCAAACCGAATGGTACTCTATTCAAATCAATAATCTAAAACATTTCAAGAATTATTAAGTGCCTACCACAATGCCCCACCAGTACAGCGGGAACAGAGTTATGGCTTTAGTATTGAGTCCTCAAAAACCATTATTTTGGGTATTGACGTTTGCTGCAAGGCTGGCACAAATTGCGCACATATTAGGAAATGCTGTCAGAATGTAATACGATGAGGAGTTTGGTGAAGCATTCGCATCACTGCATTGAATTCCTCAGATTTTAGCAAGAAACAAATTTCGCAGAACTATCACAATGCAAAGGTCCATAGTGGTAGTTCTGCAAAATTTGTTTTTTTGCTCAAATCTGGGGAATTAAATGCAGTGATGCATTCCAAAAGGTACACAAGGCATTAAATGCATTCCAAAAGGTACACAAGGCCATAAAAAGTTTTTAAGCTTTTGGCAATCTGCACACACACAGGTACAATCTCAAAATTAGTAAACAGTACTTGCAAATAAAAAAGCAGACACTGGGAGCGTTAAATAGCATCTCTCTCAACTCTAAACGGAGTAACTCAAATCCGAGTTCTTAGAGCATCTACTGAACGACAAAAAAGCAGAGCTCTTCAGCTACTTCTATGCAGTTTCCACTTCGTCCCCCATGGCAGACAGTCTCCGATTAAAATAGAACCCAACAAAGCCGAGCACGATGCTTTTATTTGACGCCAGTATCAAAAGAAGCCTCGACAAGGTCGTTAGAGAAAAAGCGAGTGACTGTAGACTGTAGCGAGTGACTGCGCCGCTGTTCGAAGCGTTCAGAGAGACCCAAAGCAATCAACCTTTCGCAGTGCGGTGCAAAAGGTGCTACTGTTACAAAAACCGTCAAAAACATTGTCAACACACACAAAATATGGAGCTTGGCAGATCTACGCCACCAAGCACGATACTTTGATATGGCCATATGTTTGTTCTGCACTTCTTTACAACTTCCTATAAAATGTATACATATGTACACGGGAAGTCGGCCGCGATTGGCGATCAAGGTTTTGTTGGCTGAAGCGAGCATCGGCCGTCTCTCGGGTTAATCGGGACGAAGTTTTGCGCAAGGTGCCCAGCCGCGCAACAGTCACATTCACACTCTGCCTCGCTCTGTTCAGCACGGATGGGACTATCGGCGATAATCACAGAGTTTCCGTGAAACGCGTTGATAAAAACACGGCATCAAATAAACATTAAAGTGGTTTATTAGCATATCCAAAACAAACGAAATATGCTCCAGGGCATTTTCTAAAAACAGCCCGAGTAGGAAACAAAATTCGAACGCATTATTCGTTTTAACTTGAGCACTTTTCATTACCAAAAAAAAGCAAGCAAACCGCAGACCCATGCCGTAGCTGACGCAGCTTATCCCGCCATATCGCTTGTTTTTTTTTTCTTTTTCGGCACCGGAACTTTTGTCAGCGATTTAGGAAGTCGCTTTTTGCCGTCAAGTGCAAGGAGCGCGAGCTCCTCGACTTTCGGAGCCGCTAATGAATGCACCCACTGCGAGCCAACAGCAAGCATCAAAGCTCATTTTACTAGTCAACTACCGTAAAATCCCGAGAGATGCCCCTCCCCCAAAAGGTAACCCACCCTATTGTTGGCTTGATTCGCTATTTTCTTTTTAACACCGAAAGATAGCCCACTCCTAGTAATCGTAGTGCTGGGATCAATGATGGCCTCGGCATAAATGCATCTATTTAGCTATGGCAGGATATAAGTGAACGTTGCTGACTGGGAAGTACAGTCATCTTTGCTTTATTGCCCCGCCGCGATAACAAGTTTGGCAGGGACACATGACCTTAAAATAGCATTTTTTTAAGACTTTTCAGCCCCACTCCTTATTTTCACCCCATTTTCTCTCAATTTTAGGTTGGCTATTGCGATATTACGGTATGCTTTATGTGGGTGAAGGGCAAGCTTGAATGCATTACTGTCCAATGCCGACTGCAGCCATGCTCCTCACACGTGTTCATACCGCAGCTCACAACGTAAACGTCATGTCCCAGGCACGAATAGGTGCTATCAAACCCATTACAAGACAGGCAGCCAGTCAAACGTGCCGGGGACATTTTGCTCTCGTTCCGGCAACCCTGTATATTCATTTACGATGCGAGACATCTTTCAAAATGGCATTCCGTCGCCAGCTCCCCCTTTACGACGGCCATCGGGCAGAAAGTGCTGCGTTTGGATCACGACGTCCAGGAGCCCGCAATCTCAAATGAGTGCCAATAAAAAAATATGCGCAAGGCGTCGCCGACCCAATTTGACCCGCCAGTCGCTTGACCTTGCACCTAAGCTTCGCCCGATAAAAAGAAGTTTCTCGTGGACCAGACTTCTTTTGCTTACCCAACACCTCAATAATCCAAAACATAAGTACAATTTAGAGACTACGAAATAGTACCCACAAGCAAAAAAAAAAGTCCCGTACAAACATTGTGCAACATTGTGCAAAGTGATATAGCTGCGTACACACGCGAAACACTTGCACAATCAGAATTCTGTTTCTCGATGGAAAACAAAAATCTGCCACTCAAGAAACATACAAACTGAAACGTATGCACAGGCAATGGAAACCAAAAACCAGGAAGCCGGGACATGGTACCCAAGATTTATTTAGCTTCATTACGATGCAGGAAGGTTGTATCATATGTATTCTCGACATCGCTAATGTTTGCCCCCGCGTGAGGGAAAGCAAGGCTGCGATAGACGAACCATGCAATGGAGCGAGCATGCGAGCCTTCCGGGCTCAATGGCGTCTTCTCTCTCCCCAGATAAAACAAGGCTGCCCTCGACATCTTTCCCTTTGTGCGTAAGAGCACATTGGCGAGATGCCTGCATCAAGCGTTATCTCACCGGGCAGTCCTGCCTTAAATCAAGCCCTCGCAGCAAGATGCCATCTTCCTAGCTAACTAACTTCGCTTTACCTTTACATCTAATGCGTCAAAGGCCAGGGTGCATGGACACATACCAGCACAGAGATTGTTGAAGTATAACAGCTTCCAAATTCTTCATTGGTTCAGTTGGCAAGAGTGCCTCTGCATAAATGTATGCAAAACTGCAAATTTCACAAAATTGTGACATTTAGTTGGCTACAACACTTCACACTGCTGCTTCTGCTGTGAAATGAAATCACGGTGTCTGCGAGAAAAGCGAACAGTGCTTTCAAGCTGGAAAAAAAAATGTTCCTTTTTCAAATTAGACAAGGGTAGGTCCTGAATCCTTGGTGTCTTATTCCAACCACTGGCATCAGGTTTGAGCAGAGACTGAGCCCTCGGTAGAGCACGGTTTATTTTTGGGGTGAGAAAAACACCGTTCTTTCCTCAAATACACCTAGCAAAGTGCTTGTGCTCATTTGCATATACATCCTTCTAAAAAATATTTGTAGAACTACAAATTCTCATTTGTAAAAAAAATTAATGGCTTCAACCGATTACTACTTCATAAACATGTAACATTCTTAAAAGGTCATGCAGTGGCAAATTTCAGGAAAATTTCTGCTACATTTACGTTTTGACATTAATTTGGGGTCAGAATTCTGGTAGACTTTAGATGTGCCGCAAGTATGCACTTCATGGCCCTATACTGACAAGGACAGAAAACCCACCCTCCTTAGAGTGCCACAGGAGGTTTCCTCAAAACAAAATTTGGGATAGCAACACATTTTTGCTGTCTTACTTAAGGGA